GAGATGGATGATAAAGATGGCCAAGGGGTTAGGAAGGCTCGGAGGGCATTCTGAGTAGCTGGGGAAGACATTCTAGGCAGCCAGGCCTCAGTGGGTACTTTTCTTTCCCTGATTATTCATCTATTATCTTATTAGCCTATATGCTGGAGTATGTCCAGATATTTGGAGGCAGTGGGCAGGTGTCCAGAATCTATGACCAAAGTCGGCCACATGTATTATACTCATACAAAGGAGTTTAGCTATGAAGTATGTGGAGGGGAAGCCTTATCATTGAGTGACCCCTCCCAGTTATGACGTGCAGATTGTAGGATTGTGTCTGAAGCACAGGGCCTTCACTCAGAGGGGCACCCGGATAGCAGTATGTGGGCTGATGTAGGATATAGGCCCATCAAAGCAACAAGGACTCTGAGCAGGGATAGCAAAATCTGCCACCGTCAGCCCCCAACTGCAAACCCATCGCCAGTTCTGTGGGACCTGAGGTTTGAGCACAGTATCAAAGCCCTGTTGGCTACGCATTTGGTCTCGGTTCTCACAACCTTGGGGATTTTATTGCCCTCCTTAGAGGCCATTCTAATTGTTTAGCTTCACAGTTGAGCATCTTCTTCACTGAGGTGAATCCTAAAAGGTGGGCTCATTTCTTCTCTTATCTCTTTGCGTAAAGTTTAATGGGTATACAATCTTTTAGCTTTTCTTTTCTTCTGTGTCTGAAAAGTTGTGATAACAAAAATAACAATGGCTACAAGCTTGTGTGGAGTTAATTATTTTAAACGAGCAAAGAAGACCAAACACCTGAGACGAAAATGGCTCAGAAATTGGAAAGAAAGCATTCTGCTCTGCTGCAGTTGGTTGGTATTTGGCTCTTTTATTTTCCTCCTGAGTAACATAAGAGCCATTGAGCTCGGAGGACGTGAACATCCTGTACAGGAAATAGATGGCGTATGGAGGGGGTGAGGGGGGCACCTGGCAGTCGTTCTTTGAATCCTTCAGTGAGCGTCACTTGAATATATTATAGAAGCAAGTAAAGGGCTGGAAAACAGGCTCTGCTTGGATGGCTTCCAGCACACTTCACAAAGCTCAGGAAAAGCTCAGCTAAGCCACATGCATTTTATGTTTTCCTGAGGAAAGACTCTGCTTGTTGGTCTCAGGGTTAAGGAGTTTCAGCAAGTTTTTATAGAGACACTAAAACATTCTCTTTATATTTCCCTCTGTCACTGAAAGGAGGCCAGAGGGATAGAATCGAGGATGTGGGCACTTAAGTGTCTGCTGAGCTGGCTAGCTCCCAGAGAGAGGTGTTGGTGCAGTGACTATATACTGGTGAGCCCCTAGCCACCTAGCTTCATTGGGTGTGTGTGTATGTGTCTGTTGTATAAAATCTTAGTTGAAATTTGAAGAAATTAAACTCAGAAGAGTGGATGTGTGCATTTCAGACTTCTTATTTTGACCAGATAGCCCGGAATGAACACTGCTTCATCCCTGCCAGAAAATGGGCTTTATCATGAGAACAAAGTAGAAATTGTGAGGTAGGGAGAGGCAGGAAGGTGAGGGGGAAGTGACAATGGTCTTAAGACTGTCAAGAGCTGTAACTTTTTTTCTTTTCCCAAAAATATTTTTGAGGAGAAAACTAAAGCATTTGCTCTTCCTTTGTGAGAATGATTTGGAATGCTCACTGAAGCAAAAAGTCCATTTAAGAACTGACTCCAGCCTTTCTTTGGCCTGTCATACACCATTGTGTTTATTTGAGAACCTGAGATTTACAGTGAGTGAATATTAACAGGGACCAGAACCTGTAGTCATTGCAATTTGCATTTGCCAGTGCAGTTTTTTCTGCATCTGCTGAACTTAAATTGTTTCTTGGCCAGAAAAAAAAAAAAAATGTAATGTTACCTTTCTTACTTATACTTTTCTATAGGAAGCTTCTTACTATATTTAAGGCATTCTACCTCACTCACAAACTTGTATTTTTCTTGTTTAGAATTAATGTTTTATTATACTGTCATCTGCCTTAAATTTTAGCCATAAAAAGTATATATAATCATAGTAAATGGAGACACTGGAATACTGTTAGCATTAGGCAAGCAGCTAACGATGCTCCTAGGTTTAAAATATCAGTGTATTTTTTTCCCAGGCTTTCAGTTTTATTCTATTAAGACTAGAAATCAGGCTCCCTTTTTTGATATGATTGCAATTTATGAGTAAGAATCAACTGGTTAAATAAGTGTGAGGATAGGTTTGTAAGTGAGTAAGGAAATTATCCTGGTGCTAATGAAGAAATGTGCAAAGAAAGATCTTCAAGAAAAACCAAGAGCTATATTAAATTTTAGCTGTCACTGAGTGTCTTTCAAGAGAAGTAAGTGTACCCTTAAGTTAATTTTCCACTTTCTAATTAGGAAGAGCATATCACACCCTTGACCAAGTTACTGATCTCTTGACACAGAGAGTATGATGCAAGGTGCCAAAACAACCTGCACACGCTATGCGTAAAACCATATAGATGAGGTACTTGAATGGAATAGTGACAACCTAGCTCTAGTTCAGCCTAATAAGGCAGTGCCACCTACTGCACACAAGCTTTATTTTATTTATCCATAATAAATATGAGCTGAATGGAAACAGCTTATGAGATCTTAAGGATTTATTTCTGCAGAGAGGTGGCCAAGTCTCTGAATAGAAGCTGATCTCTACAGACCTAAGCACAAAACAAAATCATTTTGCAGTCTGTTCTCTTCAAAGATGTAAATCTGGGTGAATTTATTGAAATATTTGTTTTCCTAGTGTATATCTGTATGTGTCAGTGAATCAATATATGTGTGTAAACATTCATATTGGGAATAATAGAGTGGGAGAGAATGGGAGCTAGAAGAATGTAAATATGAAAAAAATAGGAATAAAGAATATTCCTTTTAGATGTCTACTGATGTGTCTTTTATTCTGAAAATAAGTCTGATGTACCTTCATATGCCCTTTTACATATACTAATGACATAAAAATTAATAATTAGTCAGGCTTGTTTAAATTGAACCATTGTTCAAATTTCATCCTAGGCTGCCCACAAGTGAGTCCTTCATTAAATGATTACAGATTTAACAGGCCTTCATCGTATTCCCCTTTCTCTAGAGTTTTTTTATTCCTATGGTAACACGTAATTCTACAGTATTTTAAAATAATAACTCATAATGTTCCTAACATATTTTGCATTGTTGAATCACATAAGCATTTACATAAAGTATTAACGAGAGCACATTTTTTTATTAAGTTGGGGTCATTAATTATTCTTTCAACCATTTTGGTTTATTTCATTTAGTCTATTACAACACAACATAAAATAACTAAGTGACAGTAGATATGGTACAATAGTGATTATGATTCTTTTTATCATTCCCTATAACTCTTCCAAGGTCTGAACTGGTTATTGACCATTTACATCATTCACGGTGAAGCTTTCACTTTTGTGCTGAGAAGATCATATCATTTCAGATCCTGAATTATAATTAATTTCCAACATACTTTCATTTCTATTAAATTTCTTTGTCATACTACTATTAATTTATTTATATGTTAATGGAATGTCACACAGTCTTGGAATGTATAGTATTTGACATTTATCAGGGCCTTCATTTCCAAATAAAATAAAATACAACTTTTTCCATATCATGGGCCAACACCATGATTATGTAATTGAAACAAGTCAGGTATCCAGACATACAAAAAACACAGGTGGTTTGTTTTGTATCCTGATTTGAAGAAAGCCTATTTAATTGTCAAAAACTTGATTTTTTCATACTTGTCTGTATCTTTAACAACTTTTGTTATGGGGCGTCTGGGTGGCTCAGTTAAGCATCTTGCCTTAGGCTCACGTCATGATCCCAGGATCCTGGGATGGAGCCCCATGTCTCGCCCCCTGCTCAGTGAGGAGCCTGCTTCTCCCTCTGCCTGCCGCTTCCCCTGCTTGTGCTCTCTCTCTCTCCCTCTCTCTAAGTCTCTCTCAAATAAATAAAATCTTTTAAAAAAATAAAAATAAAAAATAAAACCCAAAAACTTTTGTTATACTTATTGTAACTTTACTCATTCAATTAAAACTGAATATCTGCTAAATGTTAGACTCTATGCTAGGCTCAAGAATTAAAACATAAATTCCCTGCTGTCAGAGAGCTCCCTTTCTTGCAGAGCAAATAGTGTGTGGATAGTTCTAGAACAGTGAGAACAAGGAACTGTGGGCACAAAAGTAAGTAACCCAGACTTCAATAAATGAGGTGGGGGTAGGGGTGGGTGGGAGCAGGATGAGGAAATACACATTGTTCAGTTCACCTGAGACTCAGGACTGCAAGTAAGGATTGTTCTGAGAGGTGAGATCAGATAAGTAGGCAGAGTTCAGGTAATGGAGGCTGTTTTATGCTTTTGGACTTTATTCTGAATGCTTTAGTGTTTTTAAAATGTTTAAAGTAGGGCAGTGAGGGAGTGAATGATGGGATGAAATTCAAACTGATTAGAAAGACCCCTCCAGAGACTCCGGGGACACCGCGGAGAAGGGGTTCAAGTAGGGCGTGACTAGAAGGAGAGGGATAGTAACTGATCCAGAGAATATTGAGAAATGATGAAGACAGAGGGCAAGGGGACGGTGAATGTCTGGTGGGTTCCATAATGGTAGAACGAATTGAACGTCCCAACAAATGTGAAGACCGTAGAAGTCCAGGAAAACTGGTTCCCAACATGGTAAGAGTTTGGTGACACTGCCCACTAGGCCACAGGCAGTCTCCAGGCTGGAGGTGAGCAGGCCAAGGAGATCTACTGTACGTATGGTAAGTATACCCAGCAGAGAGATCCAGCAGGCAGCTGGCTGCAGACATCTGGAGTTCAGAGGAGAGATGTGCATCAGAGCTCTTCAAATCGAATTACTGTAAAGCCTTAGTAATGTGTGTACCTTGACTAAGAGGAATAAACTCGTTCCAATCTCCAAGACCTTCATCTATCCCACTGTTCTCACACCCCCTTCCTCCCTGCAGAGGACTGGTATGAACAGCTATATCCCCTCATCCTTACCCTGAAGGACTGCATGGGAGAAGTGGTGAACCGAGCCAAGCAGTCCCTGACGTTCGTGCTCCTTCAAGAACTTGCATACAGTTTGCCCCAGTGCTTGATGCTGACGCTCAGAAGGGACATCGTCTTCAGCCAAGCAGTAGGTGCCTCTTGGGAGCGCAGCACGAGGCTGGGTGGCTAACGTGTATCCTTGGTGATGGTAGAGGTCTTCTTTTGGTAGTTTCATTTTTAAAGGGATTCTTTGCTTAAAGGTTTGATATCAGTTCTCCTTATCCATAATAAATATGAGCTGAATGGAAACAGCTTATGAGATCTTAAGGATTTATTTCTGCAGAGAGGTGGCCAAGTCTCTGAAATGTACGTCTATTTCACGGTGCAGAGAGTCAGTGAGGAAAAGGTCACCCATCCTGTCGTCATATTATGCCCCGGGGTCTCCACACAGAGCACCGTGGAAGGAAAGGGGTGGCTGCCTTGCTCAGAGGTGGCAGCTGGGACTGGCAAAAGGGATCTGTTTGCAATCTCCCATTTATACAGCTCCCTAATGAATCCCAGGGCTGGGCCTCATAATGATCTCTTGTATGTTTTGTTTGTCTATAAAATAAGTTCGCAGGGCAGTAATGCTTAAAGGCAAGATTTAACAGGACCACCTCCATTGCCTTCACCCAACCTATCTCATGACATCGAGGCTGGTCTCCATCATAGTGGCTGTTCTGGGGCCCTTTCTTCTCCCTTCTGCCTCCACACCCACAACTGGTTTTATAGACATAAGCCTGGAGGAAGGGAGACAAAGGACAGGGAATATTTTAACCAAACTGTCCATGTCCCCCACTTGTTCATGGATGTTTCACATACTTGAAAAATTTTAATTAAATCCGTGACGCCTCAAAAATCTTAAATATTTTTCAATTAAAGTTTGCTGACCCCAGTCAATTTTTTCAATGACTTTTCTTTTTTTTTTTTTTTAGCTTGCTGGTTTGGTTTGTGGTTTTATCATCAAATTACACACAAGTTTGCATGACCCTGGCTTCCTACAGCAGCTTCACACAGTGGGATTGATAGTGCAATATGAAGGACTACTAAGTACATATAGTGAGTATTGCTTTAGTACATGTTAAAATCATATTCTCATTCATAAGGATATTTGATCCATAGATTCTGCCGTTAAACATAAAAATGTAAAATAAACCTTTTTGACCTAAGCATTACAGTAATCATGTAACTTTCAGTTCTTTGCATTCATTCACCTTATAACTATATTCTTAGCCCCATTATGTTTTGAAAATGGAATTATAGATTATTTCATGGAGTATGAATAGTGGAGTCCTGAGCAGCCGTCTGGCTTTTTTAATATAAAAGGCTCTCTGCCAACATAGTTTCAATGACTGGATTTTTAAAGTCCCAACTCTCTAATGTCTAGAACTGCACTATTTAATACATAGCCTGGTGTGCCTATTGAGCACTTGAAATGTGTCTAGTCCAAATCAATATGTACTAAACATGCACACCAGATTTCAAAGACTAGTAAAAACTAGTTTTGCATTAAAAATTAATAATTTTACATTGATTTCTAATTGGAATGATATTTGGGTATATTGGGTTAGAGTAAAATACATTATTAATATTAATTTCACCTTTATAAATTTTACTCTGTTAAAAATATAGCTACCAGGAAATTTAAAATTATTTATGTGACCTGCATTATATTTCTATTGGATAGTCTAGATCTATCTCTATTTCTAGAAATCAAATATCACGCCTGTCAATGGAAAGAAAGCTATGTGATACTCTGTTTCATAAAGGAGTTAACACTTCTCTGTAGCCTTCCAGCAAATGTATACATTCTTTCCCTCCAAGGGTACTTGGACTGCTGGAGTCCACTGAAATGGTTCTTATTTCACTGGTGAAAACCTTCAGCCTCTGAGGAAAAGTGTTTAGAATATATTCACTGCATTCAGAAACTCATTCACTAAAATGCTAAAACAAATCCCAGCAGGGAGATGTAGTACCAAATGACATTTTCTTTAAATAGTATGTTTGTAACAATGTTCCTTTTCCCTTGTGTAGGTGATGAAATCGGAATGCTAGAGGACATGGCTGTTGGCATTTCAGATTTGAAGAAAGTCGCATTTAAAATAATTGAAGCCAAATCCAATGATGTCTTGCCAGTTATAACAGGAAGGCGGTAAGTGGCACCCATTTCCTTGAGACCAAGCTTTGTTAGATATTTGTCTTAACTCCTTATAAAGGAGCCAAGGAAAATTAAGGTTTGGTTTGGAAAATTTTCTTTTGTTCCTTTTTCCCTATTTGGTGGAGAAATGAATGTAAGTGACATAACAGGGGAAGATCTTGAAAAACTCCTAGAAGGCTCATGAATATTTATATATTTGTGTGGTAGTGAGGTGAGCGTGGTAATGCTCCCCCATGAAATATGAGGCATTCAAAAGAATAGTAGGCATGAGAAGAACATTTTTCTCTTTATTACTATCTAGTCCAAAGCTCTGGGTGTTTTTACTTTTGCTGGAATCATTTGGTTAATAGCGTCATAATTCTTGAAATGACTTTATATTAAATTCTGTTAAAAGCAGCAACATTTTAGAAAAGATCTATTTCTGTGTCAGGGGCATATACCACCATTTTTCTTAATTATTTTTGACAATTCACCCAGAGACTGAAATTTCCGAGAATGGTTTTAAATAAATAGCTTTGAAGGTCAGTGAATGATGGGCAAAATATCAGAAATAATTAAGAAAAATGATGGAGCATAGAATAGACCTCCAACAGAAGAGTTACAGCCTATGGTAAATCATTTCAGTCAGAAGTCCACCAAATTGTAACCATTCTGACATTCGCGCTTTTAAATGCTGCATGAGGACATATGAAATTTGAAACATTCTTAGATCACAATGAAAAACTATGAATGTGCTAAAGAGAAAGCCCTTTTCATGCTGGAGAGAGATGGAGAAGAAAGTAAGGATAAAAGTTCAAACTAAACTTGCTTTCTTGTGTATAGTAAACATACGATGGTTATTTTAAACTTTGTATGAAGGATGCTCAGAGAAACATGATTGAATGAAAAGTGACTATTTCATATACATCAAGAAAAAATAACCTCATAAAACTAAATATTTCATCTGTGAGCTAGTGCTTAATTTTCCATGTACTGGAAGAAAGAATAAAATTGCTCATATACACAGCTGGAAAATAGTACCACTCTGTATTATCAAAAGTGGGAAACTGATACTTCTATCACAATTGATAAAGGAAGTTTCTCAGGCCATTTGGTATAGTAGAGTACGGATGCTTTTTCTGAGGGAGTTTGCAGGCTGTTTCTAAATTCAAAAGTTACAAATCAGATGTGAGTAGAACTCACAGAATATGCCAAAGTGAGCAGTCTGGCAAACCCTCTCTCCAAACAGCAACATTGCAATTGGACAGAATTCCCAAAAACAGCCATCTTGAGATGAAGGAAATAAGTCAAATGTGCACACAAACTTACAAATACTTATTAATGAAAAACCAGTGGACATTGGTTAAGGCACATGGTATCCACGGCACTCCTGGCCAGAGTTGCTCCCCTAAAACCCAGCTTGGTCAGCGCAGTTTTACTGGGGTAACAACAGGCTGAAGAGACCAGCAGTTTCACTTCCAGAAGGGGCTGACTTGATTTGGCTTGGAAAGCAGAAAAAAACACACTCCTGAAAAGTTGTTGGAAACAGCGGTGATTTAGATAACAATTTCATTCACAATAGTGTCAAAAAGAATAATTACATCAGACCAGATTTAACAAAGTACTCTAAGAATTGTACACAGAACACACAAAATCGTGCTTGGAGAAATTAATAAGATCCAATAAACAGAAAGACAGTCCGTGTTCCCAGATTAGGGTACTCGATATTGTTTAGATGGCAGTTCTCCACAAACCGATCTATAGATTCAGAGCAATTGCTTGCTAAATCCCACTAGTCTTTTGTGCAGAAATTGGCAAGCTAAACCTAAAATTTGTATGGAAATGCAAAGGACTCAGAATTCCAAAAACAATTTTATAGAAGGACAAAAGAAGACTTACACTTTCTGATTTCAAAACTTAATATAAAACCACAATAATGGAGACCCTCTGGTACTGGCGTAAGTATACACATACAGATCAACGGAACAGACTTGAGAGCCCAGATGTAACCTATTACCTTTAGGGTCAATTGATTTTTGACAGAGGTGCCAAAGTCATTCAACGGAGAATGCAGAGTCTTTTCAAAAACTGTCGCTGTGACAATTGGTTATCCATATGCAGGAAAAGTCATTTAGAACCTCAATTTATGCCATACACAAAACTTAACTCACAATGGATCATTGGTCTAAATGTAAGAGCTAAAACTATGAAACTTATAGGAGAAAATATTTGTAATTTGGGTTAGGGAAAGATTTCTTAGATAGGACCCGAAATTCTAGATTCATAAAATACACAATTCCATAGATAGGATTTAATCAAAATTATAAACTTTTAAGGAGCAAAAATATCATTATATCATTAAGTAAATGAAAATACAAGCTGCAGATTGGGAAAATAAATACAAATCATTGATCTAATAAAAGGCTTACATCCAGAATATATAAAGAAATCTTACAACTCAATAATTATGAGACAAAAACCTAATTTAAAAATGGGCAAAGCATTTGAATAGATATTTTGCCAGATAAGATATATGAGTGGCTTATATGCCCATGGAAATATGGTCAGCGCCATCAGGCATTAGGAGAATGCAAATTAAAACCACTGTTAGATACCACTTCGCTCACAGTGGAAATCGTCATAATCAAAAAGTCAGACAATAACAAGTGTTCGTGAGGATGTGGAAAACCTAGAACCCTCATACATTGCTGGTGGGCATGTAGAGTGGTGCTGCCACTTTGGAAACAGTTTAGCAGTTTCTTAAAAAGTTAAACCTAAAAGTACTATATGATCCTTAGGTATATATACCTAAGAGAAAATGAAATCATATGTCCACAGAAAAACTAATGCATGAATGTCGATGGCATTATTCATAATAGTCCAAATTGCAAAGTATGCCAAGTAGCCATCAGCTTGTGAGTACATAGGCAAAATGTGGTATATCTACACAACAGAATGCTATAAATAGGAATAAAAAGGAATAAACTGCCAATACATGCTACAACATAATGACTTCAAAGTCATCACGCTAAATGAAAAATGCTAGATACAAAAGCCTACATATTATATGATTCTGTTTATGTGAAATAGGTAAAAAAGTAAAATCTGCCGAGACAGAAAATAGATCAGTGGTTTCCCGGGGCTGGCGGTGGGATTGGGGTGTGAATGCAAACAGGTATGAGGGATTGTTTTTAAGGTGATGGAAGCGTTCTGAAACTGGAGTATAGTCAGGATTGCACAAGTCTATAAATTTGCTAAGACTCTGAACTATGCACTTAAAATGCATGAGTTTATGCCGGTTCTATTTTAATAAAGCTGACAAAAAGTTACCATAAAACATTATAAAATGTTTCACCTTCAGAGCAACCTTTACACATGGACAGACTCATTAATTCTTCTCATATTCTTGAAAGACTTGAAATAAATAAACATCAGCCCTGTCAGCCAGGCTTTCGTAAAGGGCACTGAGAGCAATTTGAAAAAGAAAAATAATGTGTCCATTCATCTGAGGGTAGTGCTCACACCCCTGCTTGCTGGATTCATGGTATTTCCTAGTTCTCTGGTTCGAAGCTCGGGTAAGAAACAAATCTGAGTCCATCATTCGGAGTAGTATGTGTCAGTATGGTTATACTAGAAAACTAAAAATATTTTTACAAAGAGACTCACTAATTGTCTGGTGCTTCTTTTCCCAATAACATGTATTACAATCCCAGTAGTATATATAGCTCCAGAAACATGGATGTTCATAAATTCTGAGCAAAACTCTCTACATTTCAATACTCAGTTCACACCACATCAGAAGATGTCAAGTTTAGGGGCACCTGGGTGGCTCAGTCAGTTAAGCAGCTGCCTGTGGCTGATGTCATGATCCTGGGGTTCTGGGATCGAGTCCCACGTCTGGCTCTCTGCTCAGCGAGGAGCCTGCTTCTCCCTCTCCCTCTGCGTGCCGCTCCCCTGCTTGTGCTCTCTCTCTCTCTGTCAAATAAAAAATAAAAAATCTTTTAAAAAAAAAGATACCAAGTTTAAAAATGTACAAGCAGCTCTTCTTGTTGACCATGCTCTGTGAATCCTAACTTAAATTTTCAGCACTGAACATTAGGGGTAATTTTTAATGGAAATCCCCAATGAAAAAAAGCTGTTCCTGTGATATGCTAATGTTGCAAAAATGATCAGAAACCCCCAAAGGGTTACATCTTAAGTAATGAAACCATTCCATTTCCATCAGGACATCACAAACAGGGAGGTTCATCAATAATAGTAACAATCAGGCCCTGCTCAAAAGTATCCTAAATGATTTGGTTTGTTAGTGTCCCTATATTGAAAAATCCATCATTAAATTACTTTTCTTATTCTTGAGACTGACTGGGTTTTAAAAATGAGTAAATCAAGAAAATAAATCTTGAGTCTCTTATGCACGTGGCCCTGGTATACAAATGAACTAAACATTCTTCCTTTCCTAAAGGAACTCAGAGTAATGGAGAAACATTTTTAAAACTGTAAATAGTTCTTTATGCAAGGTAATTTAATAGTGAAGTGAACAAAATGATACCCCAATGAATTAATAACAGAAAATAAGCAAATAGCAGCCAACAACCTAAGTCAGCTCTATATTCCAACTGTTTGTTTCTTTCCAATGACTCTAACATAACAATGAATGAAATAAGCTTCTTCTCTTTGTCCTCCGCTGTCCTCAGGGAACATTACGTGGTGGAAGTGAAGCTTCCAGCTCAGATGTTTGAGGCACTGCCTTTGCAGATTAAAGAGGGACAATTGCTCCATGTGTATCCAGTACTTTTTAATGTTGGAATCAATGAACAACAAACTCTTGCTGAGAGGTAAGCTTCAGGTAGAAAATTGACACTTCAGTTGTTCTTTTCCGCTGTTACGGGTATGCTGAGCCATTCCCTAAGCTCCTGCACACGAAACTCAGATAGACTCATAGGTACATTTTCCTTTTTATCATACCAAGTCATTCGAGATGGCAAAAAGAAATATTCATATTTCAGGATTCCTGGCCCACATCAAATTTAAACGCGGCAAAGGAACGAGGAAAATATTGATGCCAATGCCAAATTATTTACATGGATTGACTTTCTTCACAGTTCCAAATACCGCGTGTGTGTACCCAATTTTAGCATCGTTTATGTTCATATGTATTTCAGCATTATAAACTCAGCCGATTGGGTCAAACTTTTCTGGACCTAAAACACTGTTATTTTTCCCTTTTATTTACTACAATAGTTGTTACTGGGGGAGGTTAGCACATCTTTTCATAATAACCTGCTTAGTCAAACAACAGACGATTGTACACAGTCCTGTGAGTTACTGTCAAAAACACTTTTTTGTATCTTACATGGTTCAATTGTAGAGATTATTGAAAATGTGAATAAGACTTAAAGTTCATAGAATACATTTTTAAGAGATTCTGGAGAAAGAAGTCGCTATCCTGCTGTGAGGCCTGGCTGGAGAAGATGGGCAGACCTTTTGGAGAGTTTGATAGTCTTCCGTATTTAAAATGCTTCTTGTCCATAATTCACTCTCCAAATGTGTCCTTCCCCCATAGGTATCAGTTAAAAAGTGCCCAGCATATTCTTTGCCATGACTTGATAAGTCTGTGTTAAGCCTGTAACGATGTCTTTTACTAAATTAAAAATGCCACTACATTTATGTCCTCCTGAATTTCAGTGATGGTCAAGGTGCCTGTTTTTATCTATTCTCTTCCAGTGGTTTTTCCTTCTCTCCCTCTTATCCAAAAGGTATTTCCTGGACAGCATAGGTTTTCATAATTCTCACTTGTCAGTTACAAAATTAGGGGGCACTTTTGTATTTCATGTTTAATTTCAAATTGGGTGGAAGCCATAAATCTCTTTTCTTATAGTATGCATAAATCAGAATATAATTTTATTCACTGTGTTGTACAAGAAGTTTACTTTGATAATTGAGAACTTTTCCACATCAATACCTAAAGTGAGATTATAGTCCAGTCATCCGAGTATATGTGCCTCACAGCAAGTCCAATGGTTGAGGTAAATGATATTTATGAACATAAATTGTTCAATTTGGAGGGAAAAAAAACAGCACAGTACTTACAATTGTCTCTTCTTTAATATACTAGATTACAGAGTGTTCTGGATTTGAATTAATAAGTTAAGGTCTGTGAGTGTGGTCTTGAAAGAGACATGAGAGTCCCCATTTACAGACTTTTCAAGGAAGAGTTAGCATTGTAGTTACCATTGTATTTTCAAGCCCTCTAAACTAGGTTAGATTGCATCATTGATGTCATTGCGACTATTTCAGTTGTCAGTCGTTTTATTTTAAAAAGTCCCTTCTCATGGGGCGCCTGGGTGGCTCAGTCAGTTAAGCCTCTGACTCTTGATTTCTGCTCAGGTCATGATCTCCGGGTTGTGGGACTGAGCCCTGCGTCAGGCTCCATGCTGAGCACGGAGCCTACTTAAGATTCTCTCTCTCTCTCCCTCTCCTTCTGCCCCTCCCCCCACTAGTACTCTCTCAAGAAAAAATAAATGAATGAATAAATGAATAAATAAATATAAAAAACAAAAGGTCCTTTCCTTTCCTTTTCTCTTCTCTCTCTGGCATATTCTATCTATGTGTCTGTGTGTGTATATACTTTCTTTTTCATATCTGGAAGCTATAAAGACACTTAAGACTTGAAAAGGAGACAAAATGGCAAAGTGGAAAAAAATTCAAAGAGAAGCAGGAAGGCTGGCACTCTGATATCAGCCAACTACTGATCTGAGTAAATCACTTCCTCTCTGTTCTCTGAACCTTATTTCTCTGATTCTGAATTTTGAGCTTTACCAGGCAACGTCTATAAGTTAGGTATGCTATGTAATCCAGTTGTAATATTTTACTACATATTTACCCATTGCCAAAATGTATGTTATGTGTATCCGTTCTTAATTAAGTACTAATTACTCTTGGTTACCTTAACAAAATACCTCAGACTAGGTGGCTTAAACAACAGAAATGTATAGCTCATAGTACCAGAGGCTGAGAATTCCAAGGCCAAAGTTCTAGCCAATTTAGTTTCTGAGAGCTCTCTTTGAGTTTTTCTCTGTGTGCTCACTTGACTTCCTTTTTGTATACACAGAGAGAGTGAGCTCTCTGGTGTCTCTTTTTATAAGGACACACTAATCCTACTGCATTAGGGCCCCACTCTCATGACCTTTAATTACTTCTTTAGAGGCTTCATCTCCAAACATAGCCACTGGAGGTTGGAGCTTCAAAATGTGATTTTGGGGGGGAGGACACAAACATGTAATCCATAACAATGACATTACTTCAGCAAGGATGATATTTTTAAAATACCTTTTGATTATAATCTCTGAAAAAGTTTTAAGAGTATATTTCAGAGTTTAGAGAAACTGTCCTGTAGATTTTCCTGGTTCTATATTCCTATTCTCCAAGTTTAACTCAGTATAGATATTGAACACTGACCTTGCACCAGGCACTACTCTGTCAAGCTGTGGGACACAGGGAGCATGCAGTGTAACAAGATAAATGAATATGATCCCTGTCCTAAAAAAACTTACCATCCCATAAGGAAGCCAGATCAACAAGTAATACATTACAGTTTGACTCATGCAATAGGCAAAGATGTGGAAGGGGCAGGAATAATGGAGGAAAGGAAGTGATTCACAAATGGGAGAGGAATTCATCAGGGAGCTTTCATGGAGTAGATGAGCCTCTCATAAAGCCTGAAGGATGAATTGATCAAGCAGACAAGGAAGATAAGACATTCTAGTTAGAGGGAAAATAGCATGTAGAAAGTCCCAAAGGCATCAATATGCTGCTGGTGAGGGAGAAGAGGGTAACTACATTCCCACAAGGGTTTTTGGAAGCCTTTGTGGAGAAGTTAGATGTGAAACTAAGGAGATTAGACTTGGTCATTACAGAGAGAGGAAAAGCAGTGAAGTTTAGTAAGCTGGTATGAAGAAAGGTATCAGAATCACTTCTCCAACATTTCATTTATTGCACATGCAGCTCCTGGCACATAGTCAATGTTAAATAAATATTTGTTGAATGAATGAATGATCTGACCATGGTGTAGAGGGTAGACTGGAAGGGAAGGAGACTGAAGGCACAGTGCTGGGGTATTTGGGAGGCTCTGTATCCAGTCTAGAGTGGATATACTTAAACGCCTAATATATAATGACAGTGTTAAAGAAAAAGAAGGAAAGTCTGCCAGACATGTGAAAAGATCAATGAATAGTGAATGGGGTGGCGAAAAGAGAAGAAATCCAAAAGAGTGCCTAGACTTTAACCTGAGTTAATGCAGAATATTGAGGACCTGTTTAATTCTAAACAAAAGGAGGGGGTGGTTTCAGTTTGGGCTTATGTTGCATTTGAAATGGGGTGGGATAATTCACACTGAAATTTTCAGCTGATATCTCGAAATACAGATTTGGATGGAGATACATATTGGAAGCCATTTACATATGATCCTTTTATAGAGGCACACCTTGACCATAAGTTTAAATCTAGAAAATGCTTAAAGAAAACACAAGGTCAGTGATACACAGGTAGAGTTTTGTGGTGAAGAGGCAGAAGAGCACCAATACAGAGGCTGTCAGCCTTCATGGTGTGGACAGAAAATAAATGTTGGGGGCGCCTGGGTGGCTCAGTTGGTTAAACGTCTGACTCTTGATTTTGGCTCAAGTCATGACCCTCGGGCATGAGACTGAACCCCGCATTGGGCTCCATGCTGGGTGTGGAGCCTGCTTGAGATTCTCTCTCTCCTTCTCTTTCTGCCCCTCCCCTGTCTCTCTCTCTCTCTCTGTCTCTGTCTCTCTCTCCCTCCCCTCTCCCTCCCTCTCTCAAAAAAATAAATAAATAAAATAGAGAAAGAAGTGTTGACAGAAGTAAACCACTCTCTAGAGATTGTAGGGGTCTACATGTGCCTACAGCAACGGACAGTGGACACAAGACTGTATGCAGCCGAGTGTCTGCTTTTGATGTTCTGGACCCTCCTCCAGCTGTTATGAGTGAAGAGGAAGATTCGAGGAATGAAAAAGAAGAGGCAGGGTTTTTTTCACTTTAGAAATACAGCCCTGCAGGGGTGGGGAACCTCACATTAACTACATATCAACTATGCACAAGCACAGGAGCTGATGTTATAGATTAGGTTTTTCATCCAGTTTGCATTTGATGATTGTGAAAATAGTTTGGTGTGTGAAAAGGGATTGGTGGGATCAGGGCCAGTGGAGACTAAATAACCACTGTGCAATGTAGCTTAAGAAAAAGACTCCTTTAGGAAACTCTTGCTGTCTACCTAAAAAGGAGAGGTAAAAAGTGTTGCTTTCAGGACCTTCTTTATAACCCCTAATTGTGTTCTTTGTTCTGTTTTTAGGTTTGGCGATGTCTCTTTACAGGAAAGTATTAATCAGGAAAATTTTGAACTTCTAAAAGAATATTACACGACATTTATGGAAAAGATGCCACCTGATTGTAAGTATGCCAGTTTCAGAAAGCGACAATAATAATTTCCTTTTTTTAAAGATTTATTTATTTATTTATTTGAGAGAGAGAATGAGATAGAGAGAAAGAGAGCATGAGAGGGGGGAGGGTCAGAGGGAGAAGCAGACTCCCCGCTGAGCAGGGAGCCCGATGCGGGACTCGATCCCGGGACTCCAGGATCATGACCTGAGCCGCAGGCAGTTGCTTAACCAACTGAGCCACCCAGGTGCCCGACAATAATAATTTCTTGATTATAAATTCTCAGGACAGGTCAGACATAGAGGTCAATGGGAAAGACGCATGGGGTAAGGATGGGAGAGCAACTCTGAGATTATCTGAACTAAGGATTGCCAAGGTGGCATGGCTGACACCTGCCTTTACTGCCTTGATTGCGCTCTTGATGTCCTGCTGCTCATGCTAGGACATTAATTTCAGTGCCACTGAAAATACCAAAAATCTAAAAATAAGGAACTTATACTTAGAAATCTCAGTTGAGTCCAGTAAAAATTTTATATAATTCTTAACCATGTAAAAGACTTAGTAAGTATTTTAACTTTCTGATTTAGAATCTGTATCAGATAGATTGCACATATACAAGGAGAAAATCGGATAGAATACAAGTTGATACAGCTAATAAAAAGTGATATGGAAGAAGGAATAATTTATTGAATATAGTGATTGCGATATTTATATGAAACTGTTAAGGCATCCAAGCCTCTAGAAAGGTATTTTACACTTCGGAAAATTTTTTTTTTTTTGGTCATTGTTCAGTTCTTTTTTCCACAAAATTAAGCACATAACATTTGAGCAGTTCAAAACCAGAGAATCAAAAATGTGTTTGGAGTTCATCAATAAGTAGTATAAATATGTTGAAATATTGAGATATTTACAATGATAAGAAACTTGGTTTTAATAAGTAGGAAATATTTTAATATTTTAACCAAAAGCTGTAATAAAAGTCTACCTGTCATCTACTCACTGGCAATTTGTTCACTGATCTGAACTTAATCTGAAATACCTTCAGTGGCAGAGTGTTTAGGACTTTTCATAAACCAATGAATCTTGCATCAAAATATTACAATGGTATATGCAAATTCAAGTGTGGATAGTTAGAAAAATTCACCTGCAGGTTTTCTTTTCTGCTTGTGGTTTTTATATTATTTTATTTCACATAAAATATTATTTTTATGCCAAAATGAAATTAAGTGCAGAGAGACTTCTTGGCAGCCAGCGTGCTTGTGAATTCTAAATTTAATTACTTAAAAAGTTAATAATATAAACATAAACAAAACTATTCTGCATTAGTAACTAATGAAAAAAGTTTTATTTTAACTTGGATGTGGTAGATAATTTTTTTACAAGTGACCTAAAATTTGGATGGAAGTAATTCTCAGAATTCTTATAAACAACTCGATTTCTACCAGTCCTTTCAAGGTATGGTCATGGGACCAGCAGAATCAACATCACCTGGGAACCTGGTAGCAATGCAAGTTCTCAAGCCTCTCTGCAGATCTATTGAGTTTGCCCTGTAAGCTGTGTTTTAATAAACCTTCCACATGATTTCTAATCCATACTAATTTTTGTGAACCAATGATATGCCATCGTTACTCAAATTATATATTATATTTAAAAGTAGGTTGTTGGCAAAGTCTGTGAAGGACTTCAGTATTATATATTAAATAATCATGTCACCTTAAAAGGAAATATGTATAAGTCATGAGTTATTGCCTGAGATATGAAAAATCTCTACATTCAAAAAAAAAAAAAACTCCCTACATTCAAGTCATTTAAACTCTTCCTAAGAACAAAAGTTTAAAAAAACCTCATATAATATTCTGCTAATTAAATATAACTAAGTGTGTTTACAACTTGTAAATATACTTCATTCTTGAAAATAGAGTAGACTTTTGCATCAAACCAATTGTATTTCATTAGTTGGACAGTTGTCTTAACACACTGAGTTTTTCCTGATACTTTATTTCCTATTATGTCAACATATTTTTGAGACAACACTATCATAGACTTGGCACAGAATTTTATGATATTACTTTGGTTGTTTTCCGTAACAAAAGTCCAAACCTGATCTGTGTTATTATACTGACATATGTAGGGTTATACCTCATGCATAAATATTGTAACCCAAAGCATCATTTGAGTTGCACTGCACTCAAGGAAGAAACTATAAAGCTTTATTAACAGTGTGAATAGAGGTTAAACTATTTGTAAAGGAGGGAAAAATTACCATGCTGGATCATACCCATAATCCATATAATCTATTATGTTTCTTTCACAGTGAAATTAAGGGATAATTTGTGTCAATGTTAAGAGGATAAATTAATCCTCTAAACTCATGACTTTCACTTATTAATCCATTTTGGATGTGCTGTCCATTAATTTACTAACCCTTTTTTTATGATTTATGAATTAAAGAGTTGAAATCTATATGTTTTTGAAGTAAAACAAACACTTTCCCTTTCTTCCCAAAAGAATTTTTTTTTTTACCTTAAGGGATGTCCCCTACTTTTGTGATACTGGGATTGAATGAATAAATCCATTTCAGCTGATTTGAGAAAACATACATGATAGGAGACTATCCATAAGTATGAGGAAAGAAGGATTAAAGAACCCACAAAAAATGGGAAATTGTTAGAGATTAGGGGTCATCAAACATTGCTATAGTTAAATGAGAAGGATTTCAGCCAGGACAAGGTAAACAAGAATTAACAAACGTGATGAAGAGAAAAAGATTCAAGAGAAACTGTTGGATTTGGTGGTTATGAGCATTGATGACATTCCCTGGAGTCGTTTACATAAAAACATGGAATGGAACCACATAAAGTCATTTAAGAAGAGAACTTGTGTTGTATCAGCAGACAGCCCCCTCCCAGGAAAGTTTACAGTGACTTACAAAGAATGAAAATGCTGAAATCAGTAGAATCAAAGAAGAGGGTTTTTTTCCTTTGTTTCTTTTTAGTTTCATTTTCCAAGAGAAATGAAAATTTTTAAGATGTTCAAATTACAGGGCAGTCGCGAGGGGCTAAGGCTCTGCTCTGCACCCTGCCTAGATGTTCTACAGATGGGCGCAATGATAGGGCCCCTGGATCTAGCCAGAAAACCCATGAGGGGCCCCAAGAAAGAGCAGAGGACTATGCCTCGCATATGATACAGAGATGGAACTTTACTCCAGAGGAAAGAAGGATCATTCTGGCTTTTAGGAAAAGAAATCTGCCATGCCTAGCTGAAGCCCCTGTAACACCTGAAATCCAATACAAGGTCACAGATAATTCTTTAAGATTGGTGTTCTGAATATATAAGGTTTGGAAAGAGGCCAAGTGTGGTTTAGGCCTGCTGGTCCACCACTGTCTGTCAGGTCTTTCTGGTCCTTTGGTAGCTTCAGAGGAAAATGCCTCGAAAAGAGTTTTATCACAAGCACTATACTCACTTTAAAAATCAGATTAGTCATGGTTTTCCCTGATATCCTGTCAAATTCTTTTAACATTATTATTAAAACATAATTCTTTAACTATCATTTGTAAAAGCTACGCATGAGTGTCAAACACTGACATTTAGTTTGCTGAGCTAAGATTTAGTTGAGTGCAATTTATTTAAACCAAAATATTTCTGTGTCCTTTGAGCTTATATTTTCAGTTAATATTTTACATTTTTTAAGTATTTTTATTTATCTTACCTCTCATTTAAAAAAATAGACCAAGGGAGCAAAGCTGGTTCAGTGAAGGATAAAATTAGAAAGAAAATTATAGTATTAAAACTCAAAATAATGTGAAATATAAAAGTAACAGGACTCCATTAGGACAAGAAAACGTTCATATGAGAAGATTTCCCAGAAGTAGGTGAAAAAGAAAAGCTTAAATATGAATACAGTGTTGAATATCTAAAATCAGATTTTAAGTCAGAAAATGAATCAACTTACCCTTCATATCTAATACTTTGTCTTTTAAAACTATTGCCAAATAGCCATTGAAAATTCAACAGGAGTTTTCAAACATAAGACAGAACTCTCTAGTAAATCTATAATTTTTTCTAGAACAAGTATATGGTAATAGTTTCCTGAGTAAAATTATTGATTTTGTTTCTCTAAGAAATGAAAAAACAAAAACAAAACAAAAACAGCTACCAAGGTATCATTCGTAATTGTACTTTATGTAAAATAAACTTACAAGTGGAGGCACAGCAGACTATTGCTAAGAAACAGACAACTAGCTACAATATTTACAACACATATTGTGCTCTGGAAGAAATCAGTACTAGGTCTTGGCAAACTTCTTTAGCTGATCACTCTGTTGGACTTCCCACATGGCTCAATACCATAGAGTGTGGGAGGGCAGTGGCTGGCTCACAGACTAACAGGTTACCTTGTGTTACAAATGGATAAAATCACTGAGGAGCAGCATATAAATCAGTCCTTGGAATATTGAGCATATGTCAGAGAGAAGAATCGCACCACATTTGCTCTGTTTATTAATGAAAATAAGGCTACTTAAATGGATATTTCCTTTAGTGAGTAATTATATTATGAACTCTGGTTGCAGACCAGAAAATATGTGATGTAATCAATACTGACAGCATCAACTGTGTGTGCCACATAGATGGGCAATGCTCCATAAGCAAAATAAGGTGCATCTGAATATCAATCCACTTACTGTTTATTTACTTAAAATTGGAGGCCACGTGTGTTGACACTTGCAACATGGCTCAGTCATGCCACAAGTTTAAATGTGCTGCCTTTAGTTTTTCAGAACAAGTGGTGGGTATTTCTGGCCCCTGCTTTTCAGAGCCCTCTATCCTTAGATTAGACTACCATCCATCCTGAGCCTGGCTCGCCACACCTCAGCAGGCTCTGGAAATAATCTGAACTTATAAAATGAGAAATGAGGTAAGGCAGATATCTCAAAAGACATTAACAAACACAAGCACAGACATGGAGTTGCGCGCACACACACACACACACACACACATTGTCACACTCATGC